TGTTGTAAAGAATGCTTATAAAGGATGCGCAGAGCTACAACGTATGTCCCCCTGTGTTCTGACTGGAATACTCAGATCTCCATTCCGACTCATGGCCCCTTCTCAGTGCCCTGCTGTTTTAGATAATATTACTGGGCACTGGAGCTTTCTGGGTTACCTATATCCACCTGACATGAGGCACAGGGTCTGTTGTTATTGTTCACTGTACATCTATTGTTTCACTGGTTTTATTGTTTTCCTTGTTTTATGGGTTCCGTTGTAAGCTGGCCTGAGCCCACTTGTGGGACAGGGAGGAGTATAAATTAAATAAATAATTAATAGTAATAATAATGAAGGGAGCTTTGACTCTTGGAAGCTTACACCCTGAAAATCGTGTTGGTCTCTAAGGTGCTCCTGGACTCGAGTCTAAGTGTTCTACCGTAGACCAACACAAATACCTTCTGAAACGATCATAACATTCTGTGAGTTCCACCCCCTCTCCAGGCAGCCATTTTCTGGTGGCACCCAGTGGCCTCCTTCAGAATTACAGAAGGGTCCAAAGGTTCAGCAAGATTGGGGACTGCCACCATGATTTCTTTCTTTCCAGGAGATACTCCTGATTGCCCAATGTAAACCAGTCCACCCAACAAATGCAAAGATATCAAAGCAACTCTCAGCAATCAGCACATTTACATGGCTTGACCGCAAGTGTACTGAGCACAGTACACACAACTTGACTGACCAATGTCTCCCGCATGGTTTGTCTCCTCAGTCACCGTCCGAAGACTCAGAGAAGCAGTAGGAATATGCAGGCTGCAGACCCAAGGGGCCCAACTTGCTCTCCAACGGTGTGGAATGGGACTCTACGTCACGGAGCACGAAGCCCTACGCTCCCGTACGCCACATGGACAGAGCTGTGAGAGAGCGACCTCCCCAGATGACCCTGTTGGATAGAAGTATGTTGCTGGGCAAGTATGCCCCTTCAGGTTGTTTAATTAGGGTGTAGTAATCTAGTATTCTGTACTTTTTAGTGGCTTCAGGGCAGATAATCTTTAGAACCATGGTTCTTGTTAAGACTTTGGGCAGTTCTGGAATTTTGACCTGCGGAAAAATGACTGCTATGAGGAATGCAGGATATAACAGATTGGGATGTCCCACAGAACATTGAGTTTTTAAGGTGACCAGTTCCAAATGGGTGCTTCCTGCAATTCTCTCTTGACCTCTCCTGAAGCACTTCATGCTCGGGGGGGGTGGGAATCTCTCTCTGGAACAAAAGAAAACACACAGGTGGGCACCATGTTGAAGTTTCCAGAATAAAACAGACAGATGCTTCAGGGGTAAGGGGTGACTCCATCAGCATGGAACAGGCTTTTATGGATACCTGGGGAGGAAAACAAACAGATATAAGATGGACTCACACAACTTTCTTGAACATCACGAATACAAAGCAGACAATAAAGGAATGTTTCCTGCATGGTTTATCTCCTCAGTCACCGTCCAAGGACTCAGAGAAGCAGTAGGAATATGCAGGCTGCAGACCCAAGGGGCCCGACTTGCTCTCCAACGGCGTGGAATGGGACTTTACGTCATGGACCACAAAGCCCTACGCTCCCGTACGCCACATGGACAGAGCTGAGAGAGAGCGACCTCTCCAGATGTCCCCGTTGGATGGAAGAATGTTGGGTGACTTTTCTCCCCTCCAAAGGTAACGGGGAAAATGCAGGGCAATCTGGGGAGTTGTTAATGAATCCCACATACAGAATACAGACCAAAGTATGGAAGTTACTTTTTATGAATACCTTGAATTTCCAAAATGGGAGACATGTTCACCTGTGGGACAGCTGACCTTTCTGAAAGCAGGCAGTGATATTTTTTTCAAGGCAATGACTGTAAGAAGAGAACTGAATGTTAATTTAACACAACTACATAAAGTACAAATGTACAACATAGACCGGCTTTAATCAGCATAGCACATGGATATGGCAAAGCCTGAAGGCCTATCTTTGCATGAACTATGACAAAGATTCAAATGTATGAACTACAACAAAACCTAGATCCAAATCCCCATTCATCCATGTGAGTACACCAGCCACTTCCTTTCAACTCAACTTACATAACAGTGAACAGCGAGTGTAATTATGCACACTACTACAAACTTCCTCAAAGCAAGAGCAGGACAATGTTGGGGAGGGGCTATGGCTCAGTGGAAGCTGAGTTGGAAGTTGGGGAGGGGCTGTGGCCTCTGCTTTGCATGCAATCCCCAGCATCTCCAACTAAAAGGACCAGGCAGTGGGTGATGCAAAAGACCTGAGACCCTAGAGCACCACTGCCAGTCTGAGGAAACAATTCTGACCCTGATGAGGCAGCTTCATGTGTAGCATGCTATTCCCCAAACAGTGAACTTCCTTCCCATGCTAAAACAGAAGCATTGTAAGAAGTGTAGTATTCCCAAGTCTCTCTTACAAAGAACAGATCCACCACCTGCCATGTAGTGAATCTTTTTCTCTATCCAAAAGTCTGTAAGGAGCTACATGGAGCTCCTCAACAAGCAACCAAAGTAAAATGTTTTTAGTCTCTACTACAGGCAAAATTCATTTAGTTCAAATCTGAAAACTGCTTGGCCTGTACTCCAGCCTCGTTTTTAGGGTCCGCTTCGCAGAAGACCGTAAAAGTTATTTCAGTAGTGAAGGTTCTGTGCAATGTCCACACAGTTCAGAGCCTCACACTTGTGGTCAGGAAAATATGACGTTTCACTGCACTCTATCTAACACTGGGTGTGTGTGTATTAGGGAATACAACAGAGGAATAAGAGAACCGAAAGCAAGTACATATCCTGAACACCCATTTCTTATTTTTCCAATCCCACTGAACAATCTTAAATATCCTACCTCTAAAGAAATTGAGAACACCATACATGGTTCTCCATGGCATCATTTTGCCCTAACAACCACCCTGTGAAATAGGTTTAGACAGACCAATGAACTTCACAGCTGAAAGGGAGATTTGAACCCAGACACCAGTCCAGTACATCATCCTGACTTGTAAGCAAATGCCATAAGAAAGCCTCAATTAACCCAAAGGAAAGAGCAGCTACCCGGCTACCCTGACATGAAGTTTTCTAAGTGAGCATGCGCCAGTCACCTTCTCTCAGCATCATCTGCCTCTAGGGTTGCCAAATCCCTTAAGATTTGGGGATGGGAAGGACCACTACGGAATATAAACGTGCCACAGAGTCCACCCTCTAAAGCAGCCATTTTCTCCAGAGGAACTGATCCCTGTAGTGTGGAAATCAGCTGTAATTCCAGATCTCCAGACCCCATCTGGAGATTGGCAACTCTCCGTACATCACAAGACTAGACAGAAAGGAAAACCTTGGGCAGATTAATTAATTAATTAAAATTATATTACCTGCTTTTAATCGTTCATGCACTTGTTACCCGCCATGAGCCCGCTAGGGAACGGCGGGATAGAAATTTAACTAATTAATAAATACATGGGATGGGGAACGCGCTCTTAACTAGAGAAGACAAACAAGCACCTCCATTTTCCTTGTGCAGAGGCTACAGATACATACAGACTGGGAACGACACGAACGCAGCAAAAAAACAAAAAAAAAACCCATACAAAGGCAGTAAGATTGGCCATCGTGAACCACCGTAACAGAAGTACAAGCTCGGAATTTTCACTCCACGCCGCGCCAACGTCTATTTTTTAAATTAACGACACTCCTTTATCCGCCGCCGCCGCCATTCCTTTATTCCTCCTTTATTCCCCCCCCCCCATTTCCCCGCCACCGCCATTCCTTTATTCCCCCCATTTCCCCCGCCACTTCCCCCGCCACCTAACCTCTCCCTTACCTCTGCCCACCACGCGCTTGGAAAAGGCCGATCAACGCGAGACGCGGGTATTTATCAAGAGCAAGGGGCGACGGGAAAGGGCACTCGATTGGATGATCAGGCGCATGCGCCGAGGCGTTTGGCTGGAAGAGGGCGGAGTAAAAACTACTGGATGATAGGGGAAACGTTCTTATCGAGCTACCGACTAATGTGAGCAAATTGGTGGGTGCCTTTCATTGCGTTTGCTTGCTATTAATTTCCGGGGCCCCATTTTCTTCCATTCGCATTGCTTGCAATTAATTCTTCTCCTTCCATTTGCTCACTAAATCAGTCTTTTCCTGGGCTGTTGGGACAGGACTGCAGGAGCTGGTGTGAGCTACCCTGGCAGGGGGAGTCCATATATAATAGTTCTCCAGGTAAAAGGTGTCTGTAAATGGGGGGGGGGGGGGGGGGGATCCAGGGAAAAAGACAGG